AATATTCTTTATGTATCTGGAAAGGTGCGTTTTTTCTGCTATATTCCATTTTTTATGTAATATAGTGGGTTTTCACACCATTTTTGATCGCGAATCATATTTCAGGGCGATTCCACATTCCGTTTATATGAACTGATTGCACGCCCACCATATGTGATATATTTAACTGAATGTCAGCAACAAGCGCCACACACGTGTATTTGTACGATATCGAAACGAGCTCTTAATTTAACCGGTGCAGAAGTGATGCGGGTATACAGGTACGTTTCTTACACTTATATAGGAGCAAGAATTTGTGGAGCGCAGATAAAGGATCTGTAGCTGAGGCAGAAGTTAATCATTTTTCGAAGTTGGACTTGGAAAACCTGGAACACTTGGAAAACCGTAAGAATTTTGTTGAGAACTCAGTTTCCGAAGAGAAACAAACCTCGAAAGCCACATTCTGGGGACGGTAGCCGGTAGGTGAGGCGGAGCCAAAGGGACGCATGGAAAGATGAACCCTTTTTCGAATCGTCACTATGGACGATATTCATTTTCTGTGTTCAAGCTTCAGTCCCCGAGACCGAAGTTTCCGTGCACCTTCTCTTCCTTTCTCGTTTATTTATTTTCTCCATACAGATTACGATTGTATGTAAGAAATCATTCGAAATTCATGAGAGAATTCCTAAGATGAGCAGAAACAGAGAAACCTTCGGCTTCTTCTTTTTTGAAAGGAATCGCCCACGGAAAACTTCTGCATTCCTTTCCAACATTGATATGTTGGCTGCATTCACTTGGAAAACCGTAAAAATTTTGTTGAGAACTCAGTTTCCGAAGAGAAACAAACCTCGAAAGCCACATTCTGGGGACGGTAGCCGGTAGGTGAGGCGGAGCCAAAGGGACGCATGGAAAGAAGTGGGCCTTGGGGCGGCCACGTATCAGGCGACGCATGAAAGAATCGGGTTAAAGCGTTCAATTTGGAGAATAGAGACAAAACGATCTGAAGGATAAGATGCAGTAATAAGGCGAGATGCGTGTCCTGAGTCACGCAGACTGCGACCAGTGACTTATTGTCGTCGCAAATTCGTGAGCAGTACGGTGGGAATTTGGAGTATTTGGCGTAACTGTTTTCCTAGCTTTCGAGCTGTTTTGTCAAAACAAACACTTTTTTGTTTTACTCGTTATTACCTGATTTATCACTCTCAAGCTAGCGATTTGGGGGGTAGGGAGGGGCATAGAAAAGTGTTGAGTCCGTGGAGCGATTCGTGTAGCCTTGATTCATAAATTAGCCACGTTAAAATTGAAGTACAATGCTGTGGAGTAGAAGGGGATTGATATGTACAGCCTGTCGTAAAAGAACTTTCCACTACGATGTTAAGTGGGAGTGATTTATCACAGTTTGAGTGGCTGGTACGCGCTCAGATAAGCTGCTTCGGGGACTTACTCTTACACCACTAGGACTAGAATTGCGCTTTTTAACACAACAATGAGTTCTTCTCTTTTAGGTTATATCCGCAGTCGTTACTTATTCAACCACTTTCGTTCATTGTTCCAAGACGAGTGAGTTATCATTGGGTATACCTTACTACTTTTTATCTCTAGTGGAAATATGATCACTCTCGCGTTTAATCTGGAAATATGATGCCACTCCGCGTTTATCTATTTCACTGTCAGATATCTGTTTGATTTTAGTCTGACCAGTTCCATCCGGATTTGTATCCTCCCACAAGAGGACCAACTCCAGCCGTTTCTTTAGCTGAATGGCGTGCAGGCCTGGATGCAGCACCCGTACAGCTACAGCTTCGCCCTGGTGAGTAACTGTTGGCAGGTGCTTTGTTTCTGGAAAGTTCCTCGCAGGTGTTAAGATCCGTTCTAGGTCAATTGACAACGACTTCGAAACCAGTGCGATTGCGAGGACGTTCGGGCAGTCCAAAATTGATCACTTCAGACCTGAACAACGATATGAAGTTTAGATTTCTTTCTCAGGTGGTTTTATGTCTCCAAGATCAAAATTCCAGCAAAATTTTGAAAATAAGTGAGGTAAAATAAATAGGTCGTAGAAATGGCAGCGATTTGTCACAAGTTTCTTTATGGTCAAAAAAGGATTTGAGTGAAACCATCGCTGTGTTTTGATGTTTTGTCATTTTTCTTTCAGTTTAGGTTGGGGCTTACCAAGAAAGTCTTTCAGGGCATGGAGCGCTTTTTCAAAACGGTTTGTTGCATGTTGTAGGGGCACGTGCGTGGAGCATAAAACTGATGATCATTTTCTGAGCGGCCCTGGGATTGCCAGAAAAAGGGCAGAAAATTTCTCTGAGAAGTGAAACTTTTACATTTTTATAAACTCTACAGCATTTGTAGCGTTGAATAGTTGCATTTTGAAGCTTTTTGTTCACTGAATAAGTTTAGACATATATGAGCCCAAGAAAGTGGAAATCAGAGAAATGCAAAAATTTGTCTCAGTGGGATCGAACCACAAGCCCTGGTTTCCACATGTTTTTTTTTGCATTCCAAGCCGCTCAGAAAAAATAACTTTCAGTTCTCTGCTCCCTGAGCGTGCGCTATAACATGCAAAAAACTGCGTTGAAAAGCGCTTCATGTATTGAAAGACTTTCTTGCTTAGGCTACGGAGACTCTCTCTTCAGTTCCACCTATTAGTATGGTCCCTTGTTTTTAGAAGACTTCGGTGAAGATCCAGTTAGGGAGAGGGCACTCCATTACTTCAAATAAGAAGAGAGAGCTCATGACACGTAATCGGTTCATATGAAGTATACTTTTGATAAGTACCGGTGTAGAGTGGAAGTAATTCTGAGGTGCTTCCACAACTTGGCCTACATTATTATCCAAGGAACGATCTTGAACCAGGGATGGAGATTCTCTGCCTCACAATCAAGCCTAGACGGTGAAAGGAGCTCCATTGTGGACGACCTGGTGTAGAAAATTGTCCGGGATGTGGGCAGGATGTGTGGAATGCTGGACATCCGCCAGTCCTTATCAAAAGTGCACTTCAAATGAGCCGCTCACATACTAATTTCATTCTTACCAGTAGTGTTCAAAGAGCCCAAAGAAGTGCTCTTTAGGACTAAAGGTGAGATAGCAAGGAGGATTTTCAACTGACCTTTTCGACCCCTAACTGGATTTTCGCCAGACTTTTTTTTTTCAACAAAATGCAATGTCTAGATATGTTTTTCACATCACTTTTCGCTGTGGAATCCATAAATTAAGCTCTGGTTTTTGTAGCTGATGGGGTTTATGAGAATAACCTGAATTCTGAGGGTTCTTGTTGCGCAACTTCAAGCCGAAAGTGAGGAAAGGTTCACGGCCGAGAAAACATTATTTTTAAATCTACAGAAGAATTTGAAGCACTCAGCTCACCGTGGCAATTGAACTCAAACTACTGTAACCTGGCTCGAGGGAAATGGTTCTGAATTGCTTGAAATGCTGGTTGATACGGCTTTTCAAAGCAACTACTTTAGGTTACGAAGCCGGATTATCGTTCTGTTGATGAACGGGAAGACTGTGAAGAGATCATCAAGCTGATTGAAGTGAAACAGAAGGTTCAGGAATGTCGAATGAGCAGGTTGGTGTTAATTCTCCGCTTCCTTTGGAAAAACCCCGCACAGAATCCGATGATTCAAAATTTTCTACTTTTCCTTTTGCAAATTTTGATGAAGATTGATGAAGGTTAGCTAATAATTACTAAATTTTTTGCAACTTGAATAGCCCAGTGATTACGGTAGCGACCAAAGGTCTACCGTATAAAGTGGAAGTAGCGGTGACGCGTCACCAAAAGTGATGATGTGAATTAAAAAAACTTCAAGAGCGAAGTAATTTTGTGGTGCTTGTGTATAGTTTGTCCCTCGTCCTATGACCGCTTTCTGACAAAATGGATGGAGTAGTTTGCATTTCTTTTTTGAACTATTCATGCGTTTATGAACTACAGAATCAAACAACTGCAAATCTGTTCCATGAACGCACCATCAACGAACTTTTATCCGTACAGCCGCCGTTTATACAGGTTTCACGGCAAAGTATTCCTTAGGTGTCCCTCATAAGCAGAAGCAGGCCCTCCTTCACTGCCTCACCGTCTTCAGAATATGACGTCATCTGTCATCACCGTCGAGCTCAAGGAGGCCTACCATAATCGCTCCATTCTGAAGCTGCTACATAATTTCTTCAATCGGATAACTGGTGAATGACTTCTTAGAGGTATCGTAGTTGTGAATATGCAAG